AAGAAAAGAAGAAGAAGAAGAAGAAAAAGAAGAAGAAGAAGAAAAAGAGAAGAAGAAGAAGAAGAAGAAGAAGAAGAAGAAGAAGAAGAAGAAAGAAGAAGAAGAAGAAGAAGAAGAAGAAGAAGAAAAAAAGAAGAAGAAGAAAAAAAGAAAAGAAAAAGAAAAAGAAGAAGAAGAAAGAAAAGAAGAAGAAGAAGAAGAAGAAGAAGAAGAAGAAGAAAAAGAAGAAGAAAAGAAGAAGAGAAGAAGAAGAAGAAGAAGAAGAAAAAAAGAAGAAGAAGAAAAGAAGAAGAAGAAGAAGAAAAAGAAGAAGAAGAAGAAGAAGAAGAGAAGAAGAAGAAGAAAAAGAAGGAAGAAGAAGAAGAAGAAGAAGAAGAAAAAAAGAGAAGAAGAAGAAGAAGAAAAAAGAAAAGAAGAAGAAGAAAAAGAAGAAAAGAAGAAGAAAAAAGAAAGAAGAAGAAGAAGAAGAAGAAAAAAGAAAAAGAAGAAGAAAAAGGGAAAAAGAAGAAGAAGAAGAGAAGAAGAAGAAGAAGAGAAGGAAGAAGAAGAAAAAGAAGAAAAAGAAAAAAAGAAAAAGAAGAAGAAGAAGAAGAAAAGAAGAAGAAGAAGAAGAAAAAAGAAGAAGGGAAAAAGAAAGAAAAAGAAGAGAAGAAGAAAAAGAAGAAGAAGAAAGAAGAAGGAAGAAAAAGAAGAAGAAGAAAAAGAAAGAAGAAGAAGAAAGAAGAAGAAGAGAAGAAGAAGAAGAAGAAGAAGAAGAAGAAGAAGAAGAAGAAGAAGAAGAAGGAAAAAGAAAGAAGAAGAAGAAGAAGAAGAAGAAAGAAGAAGAAGAAAAAAGAAGAAGAAGAAGAAGAAGAAGAAGAAGAAAGAAGGAAAAAAAGAAGAAGAAGAAGAAGAAAAAAAAGAAGAAGAAGAAAAAAGAAGAAGAAGAAGAAAGAGAAGAAGAAAAAAGAAGAAGAAAAGAAAAAAAGAAAAAGAAAAAAAGAAAAAGAAGAAGAAGAAGAAGAAGAAGAAGAAGAAGGGGAAAAAAGAAGAAGAAGAAAAAGGGAAAAAGAAGAAGAAAAAGAAGAGAGAAGAAAAAGAAGAAAAGAAAAGAAGAAGAAGAAGAAGAAGAAGAAGAAGAAGAAGAGGAAGAAAAAGAAGAAAGTTCGAGATATAAATTAGAAAGTTCTGCATTATCAGTAACTAATTTTTGGTCTCTATTCCCAACTCAATTACTGATTTACTCTGTCCGCAACTTTTTATGACATTCGCCCTCTTGTGGGATGCAATTTAGTTTGGGTTATTTTGTAGCCCCACCTCGGCTTTTGCCAGGGGCCCTGAATATAGCCGGGCCATAAATATGGCCCAACGGCTGAACAGGGTTTCTGGTACCTCTCCACGACTGATCGTCATCCGTATGGTGGCACCTCTGTCACTGAGTTTTTATCGCTTGTGTGATGTCCTGGTGGGGTATAACTTACCTACCTCACCACAATCTTTGTTTCTACTTTTTTTTAAAAATCCGCGTTAGTAAATCTAGTTTCCTCAGTTTTTTTTTTTAAAACTCTGTAATCAATATTCAAGCATTTGGAAACAAATGCATAAGGAAAGACATGACAATTTAATGGGACGAATTCGATAAAGAGGGGCGGGGTGGGGGAGGGTGGAGGGGTTAGTTTAGGTGAAGAGCAATGTCTGCTCAGCGTTTGAAATAAACAGGCGCGATACAAAGAAAACCGGCGCTATACTGGGGACATTCTGAGAAGACGCGAGCTTAAAACAGCCATTAACATTGGAAAATAAGTCAGCGAAAATATGTCAGCGAAAACGTGTAAGAGAAACCCTCTATCTATGAAATCGAAAGGAATGTAGACGATGGAAAGGAATAGAAGTGTAGATTACGAGCCGTATGTGACGTTCCTGGTGGCGACTGTTGGCTTTGGCACCTCTAGCAACTGCCATATGCACTTACTGCGTGAGCATATTTCGGGATTTTTCCGGGACTAGTTGTTTGTTCACCAGTTTTTCATACTGTGATAGGCTGGAAAACGACAAAGACTACTGTTCAGCAGCTCAACGATTTTTATTTAATCTGGTTAAAAAATGACAAAGAATCCACAGGAACAGCTTAAAGCTTTAGACGGTAAAGCGAAGAAACCTGGAAAACCATCAGTTTATAAAAAACCTTGTTTAGTCATTTAGCGTCCGTTTTGACTCCGAACCGACTCTGCAGGACACCGACATAGCAGTTGCGGCTCTGCACACTGGGCGAGACAGCTTGGGTACGGGCGACTGCAGGGGAAAGCCGCTTGTCTGACTGATTTTACTGGCTGATTTCACGGTACCTTTCAATTGGTTAGGTGGTGTTACATTTGATTTCCATTGTATATCCTCGCTAGGAGACAGTTTGATGGCAGATAGATTTAAGTAATTTGTTTGCATATTGAAGCTTACCGTACATGTTAAATATGTTTCGGGTTTTGCCATTGTTGAGGTAATCTCGCTGAGCGTATGTTGTCATTACCATAGTTCCTTGTTAGCTGGAGATGATTAGCGCTTTAGGTTCTGATTCTGATTAAGCACATTTATTGTTAGTGCTCTTATTTGTGGACCACTCTGATTTTATGTTAAGTGAAATAAACAGATGTTCAATTTAGTAATCATTGTTCTAGTTGTTTTTCGTTCATATTAGGGCTTGTAGTTAGCGTGCCTAGTTTATTTGTTGCTTGGCTGATCTAGACTTTACACAGCAGATTTTTTGTCACGGTAAGATACTTTTGATATTTTTTGTTTTGTTACTGATGCAGCTTAAGGTTGGGTTTTGGCTCCCACTCGCCACGTGACATTGTTAGAACTCCTGTTGGTTCGGAGTCGAGGAGATTTACAAGGAGTAGATTTCCATATTATCCTTTATAGTTTTCTCTTTCCTCCAATACAAGTTACCTTCTCTGCTTTAGTACAATATTCCTCAGTGAGGGCATTTCATTTGATTTTTTTTTTCACTGGCACAGGAGTGGAGGAAGTTTGGGGAAACCCGATTACTGTGGAGTTAAAACCTCGACTTATACATACCACGATGATGAACATTTAACATTCACATGCATGCATACAAATAGACTAGACGATGACTGTCCATCAGGTGACATTTTATGTAAAATCTACACTACAAAACCTCTGATTTCGAACCTTGTTGTTTCTCTGTAACAAGTCGGTCGCTGAACAGATTTTACGGGAATAATTCCTATCGCTGTTTTCGAAACAAACAAACATCAGTTCATTTATAACCAGTTCTAAAAACTACACTTCATGCGATAACTCTCGCTCAAGTGCACTCTTTCCTGAATATTCTGTGTCCATTTTACGATTTTACTTGACAATACTCCTGCTTCACACATGACCTATCCCCTGCCTCAAACCCACAGATTTGTGAACGAACTGATGAAGAAATTTGATTTGATCAAGTTCCTGCTCCCTGACACGATTCACCTAATGCAGGTCTGGATGTTTGGAACTACAGATTAAGAAGCTCTTTACCAAAGCATTGTGTCAAGAGTTTGTGGCGTGAATTATTTCCACTGTTTGTGTATGTGGGAAAAGGGAGGTGGGATAAACACACTAATCTGAGGTGTTTATTTTAAAGTCGGTGCATCTGCCTGAGTCGATAAACTAACAGTCTGCATACAAATAAGGTAGATCTGTAAAACGGATGTGACTACAAAACTCAAGTTTTGAAACAAATTAAAGTCCAAAAGTAGATTAACAATTATTATATTTCGCCAGAGTTTACAGCCGGTAAACGTGAAGAAGAAGAAGAAGAAGAAGAAGAAGAAGAAGAAGAAGAAGAAGAAGAAGAAGAAGAAGAAGAAGAAGAAGAAGAAGAAGAAGAAGAAGAAGAAAGAAGAAACAGAAGAAGAAGAAGAAGAAGAAACAGAAGAAGAAGAAGAAGAAGAAGAAGAAGAAGAAGAAGAAGAAGAAGAAGAAGAAGAAGAAGAAGAAGAAGACCCGAAGAAGGAGGAGGAGGAGGAGAAGAAGAAGAAGAAGAAGAAGAAGAAGAAGAAGAGAAGAAGAATAAGAAGAAGAGAAGAAGAAGAAGAAGAAGAAGATGAAGATAAAGAAGAAGAAGAAGAAGAAGAGAATAATCCCGAAGAAGATCCCTGCCTCCTCCTCAGCCGCTCCTCCTCCTCCTCCTCCAAATCCTCCTCCTCCTCCTCCTCCAAATCCTCCTCCTCCTTCCTCCCCTCCTCCTCCAGAAGAAGAAGCCGCCTCAGCAGAAGAAGAATGCTAGAAGAAGAAGAAGAAGAAGAAGAAACCAAGAAGAAGAAGAATCCGAAGAGATAATACTAAGAAGAAGAAGCAGAAGAAGATCTCCTCCGAAATCCTCCTCCTCCTCCTCCTCCGAAGAATAAGAAGAAGAAGAAGAAAGAAGACTACGCCTCCGCCGCCGCCTCCCCCGCAGAAGAAGAAGAAGCCGCGACCGAAGAAGAAGAAGAAGAAGAAAAGAAGAAGAAGAAGAATCCAAGAGAAGAAGAAGAATCCGCCCGAAAAGAAAAGAGAAGAAGAAGAAAAGAAGAAGAAGAAGAAGAAGAAGAAGAAGAAGAAGATAAGAAGAAGAAGAAGAAGAAGAAGAAGAAGAAGAGAAGAAGAAGAAGAAGAAGAAGAAGAAGAAGAAGAAGAAGAAGAAGAAGAAGAAGAAGAAGAAGAAGAAGAAAGATAAAAAAGAACAAGAAGAAGAAGAAGAAGATAAGGAACAAGAAGAAGAATTATCAACCTGGTCGCTTGTCATATAGAAATAATTCCATTTTAAACGCGACACCCACATTTCCAGGTAAGACAATATTGTTTTTGAAAAATCTAAGACCATAATCCCTCGATATGTCTATGGTCAGACACACTCACCCACTGAAGCCTGTCTACATGTTTGTAAATATTTCTGGACTAAAACAGTAGCAGGGTAACATTTAGGCAAGATGATGGACATTGGCACAGACAGTTAGAATCGGTACTGGGAGGGGATTTCTCCTCTAAATATTCCTAATCTTCATCTCTGTAAATGACGGATTGCAGCGGTTATCTCTAGCTGAAAAATACCAACAAACATACGAGCCGCCTGTCTCTGACCAGGCCCCGTTCAAATTTGCATTGTAACACTCTTTGTACCACCAAGCCCCAAGGAAAGCCGCGGCGCAGTTCGTATCGTTATTCAGGTCATTGTCCCGGTCAAAAGTGGTGAATTTGTTGCCATTATGATAGCTCATGCTGTCGTAGACGTTTCCGGAATATCCACCAACCGTCATGAGGTATTGAGCTGACTCATCGCCGAGATTGAAGTTTGCATACTGAGCAAAATATTGGGTCTCATTGTAGATGAAGTCGATACGGAATTCATTGTAGCCCTGAAAATATCACAGAATATGGAAAACAATAGGAAATTAGTTTCGATGGTTGGTACATAAAAACCAGACTAGCCTAAAATTAATTCAAGGTAAAGTAGTTGCATAAGTCGGCGTACGTGTCTTATGCGATGCGAACGCGCTTTGAAATGCCTGACTGCCGGATTCGATCCCAGCTTCAGGCGATTTGGCATCAGAACGTCTTGCGTAGGTTTCGACAGTGGTACCGAAATTTGACCTTTAAGCAGTGACAAAATACTGAACGTTAAATGTGCTTAGAAAAACCATATTTGCCAATAAATGCATGGATTAGTTCTGCAAAGTCCTGAAAGGGATACGCAGCTAACTTGTTTCCTTAACAGACATCGTCGTTGAGGTTGAAGTGTTAGGCTAGAATGGAACGCTGAGTGAATCACAAAAAACAGTGAAGATCATACTAGAGATAACATGGCATATACAGATAAGCTATTTCAAGCCAACGAAAGTAGAAAAAAAGAAGACGAAGAAGAAGAAGAATAAGAAGAAGAAGAAGAAGAAGAAGAAGAAGAAGAAGAAGAAGAAGAAGAAGAAGAAGAAGAAGAAGAAGAAGAAGAAGAAGAAGAAGAAGAAGAAGAAGAAGAAGAAGAAGAAGAAGAAGAAGAAGAAGAAGAGAAGAAGAAGAAGAAGAAGAAGAAGAAGAAGAAGAAGAAGAAGAAAAAGAAGAAGAAGAAGAAGAAGAAGAAGAAAAAGAAGAAGAAGAAGAAGAAGAAGAAGAAGAAGAAGAAGAAGAAGAAGAAGAAGAAGAAGAAGAAGAAGAAGAAGAAGAAGAAGAAGATGGAGAAGAAAAAGAAGAAGAAGAAGAAGAAGAAGAAGAAGAAGAAGAAGAAGAAGAAGAAGAAGAAGAAGAAGAAGAAGAAGAAGAAGAAGAAGAAGAAGAAGAAGAAGAAGAAGAAGAAGAAGAAGAAGAAGAAGAAGAAGAAGAAGAAGAAGAAAAAAAAGAAGAAGAAGAAGAAGAAGAAGAAGAAGAAGAAGAAGAAGAAAGAAGAAGAAGAAGAAGAAGAAGAAGAAGAAGAAGAAGAAGAAGAAGAAGAAGAAGAAGAAGAAGAAGAAGAAGAAGAAGAAGAAGAAGAAGAAGAAGAAGAAGAAGAAGAAGCAGAAAAAGAAGAAGAAGAAAGGGAACCTTTTTCTTTCATTTCAAACGTCAGAATATCCAGGAAAGAACTGTAATAAAGGCCATTGTGCGCCGTATAAGAGGGCCTGGGGCCTGCCGGCGTGACGTGGCGACAGAACCGGAAGCAGGAAAGTAAAGGAGAGCTGATGAGGGGACCGAGTTTCTGTCAGTTCACTGTGACTGGTGCGACGTTCTGTCAAAGTCTGCTACACGATGATGATGATTTTTATGATCATAATCTTAACTGAATAATGAAGAATCATTTTTGCCAAGGTGGCTCCATGGACTTGGGCGGGACAGAAAGTTTTGGCTCTTTCCCAAGATAAACACTCCCATACAAAAAAACACTATTTATTTCAGAACAAACGTCACGAAGCCATTAGCATTCTCACATTCTCCGCTGCCAACAGAGACGCAGTTTGGCCTATTCCAGCCACAATGAAGACACAGCTGTATGGTACTCAAGAAGATATGGACTGCACGACAGCTTTCATAAAGGCTACTGGCCTCATGATGTAACTTTTTTGACAGAAGGATCAAAGAAGAAGAAGAACAACAACTTCTTGTTATATTAAATCGACATTTTCTTCTTATTATTATTATTTTGAACACAACTGACCTGTGCATGATTGCAGTGAAGGTGCCATATTTACATATCTGCCTTCTCCGGGCATTAATAACTATAGAAGCTAATAATTTTTTTTTTTCTAAAGTGCAATGAGAAACAAAAAGCTATGAAAATTGCAGTTACCTGTGAGGTGAGGTTGTGAATAATGTCATTTCCGATCCAGAAGTCGGTGTCTGGAGTTCCAAACCCTCTCTTGTAATCATCCCAGCCTCTATAGAAGTCTACATTTCCTCGCACACGTCTCTGAGGGCGGGAATGGAGACAAGGCAACAGACGACCATCGAATAAAGAGAATAAAATACGGGCACGCATATACAGTTTTTGTGTGTGTGTGTAGTTTTCATGGTTCAAACAACAACATACACATTGAAACAACAACATAGTTCACACCATATAGGTCATATACACAGAGAGAGAAATACTCTTGACTAGACCTCAAGACACACAAACACATATATATGTAATCTCCCTGGTCTCTGGGTAGTGAGATCGGACGCCCGTGTAAATTGTGTCACACGTAAAAATACAATGGCAGTTGGAAATCGAAAAGAGTAGCCTAACAGCGCTGCCCGGGCAAAATTTGGAGTTAAAAATCTACCCGAAGTATTTCAGGTTTCCCGCCAGTGCTACAGAGCCTGAGCACTTTGCTGATCTTCTTCGGACTTGAGTTAGAGGAAGAACCGAGCACTTATGGGTTACACCCGTGGTGCCATGATTTTGATCTGTTGTTCAAACCTCAGATCTTAAATATATGAGCATGTGACATATATTGAATTTCTCTAACAAGAGAAATAACAAAAAATTTATTTGCAAAACCACAAGTAAAACTCTAAAAGGCAACTTCAAACCGTTTAATTTTTTAAAATTATTATTGATTTCAAAAAAGCAGAATCCTTCATTGTTGAGTATGCCATGCTGATTATTTTATTCAATGTCAATAAGCTACAACAAGTAAGAATACCTGTAAAATCTTCTTCTTTTTTCTACTCCTGGAAAGGCTCGCAGCTTCAAGGGAGGAAGAGATCTCTAGAAAGCGCCCATCTGTTCGCTTCGTGAGTTGTACTTGTTCAGTGTCTGATATTTCTGCGGTCAATTTTCTGCGTTGTCGACCTGTGGCTCTGTTTCCGCTGTATCTGTACAATATTGCTCTCTGTGGTGCCCTGTCTGCTGCCAATCTTGTTACATGGCTAAACCATTTGATTTGTTGTCTACCCATAAAGTTCTGTATTGGTTCTGTGCCGACTTTCGTCCTGATATCATCGTTCCAAAGTCGATTTCGTTACGCCTGGCTTAGTACGTAAACTTTTCATTTCTGTCGTGACTGTTTTCCTTCTGTCTACCGAAGACAGTGTCCAAGTTTGACATTGATAGCAGAGCGTTGTTAAGAATATTGTGTTAAACAGTGTTCTTGTAATGTACATATTCAGACTCTTGCATTCTCTTCATTTTCTACGTGAACTAAATAAGCAACTGTCGGTTTCCTAGAGCAGCCATATTGTTTTTAAACTTCCTAGAAGGTCACACTTGAACAAGATTATCACATTTAGACTAGTTTAACACAATGTCCACTCTAGGATGTCCGAAATTGACCTCTGATAGATTCTAGTCGAAAAATAATTATCCGTCTGCCTCCCTATCATGACCTGTAAAATTCAGTATAAAATAAAGTGCCTCTGTAGAAAATATAGGAATGTGTTTTACGCCACTGCTGATTGTCGAATGCACGAGCACATTCAAGTCGTTCCCATGTGGTATACAATGTTTTTGTTATTTGAAACCTCACCCTGGCTTCTGCTGGGGCCCTGAAAATAGCCTGGGCATAGATATGGTCTAGCCATAGACATGGCTTAACGGCTGAAAGAAGTTTCTGGGACCTCTCCACGGATGATCCTCATCCGCATGGTGGCACTTTGTGTCACCAGGTGTTTATCGCTTGTGTGAAGTCCTGGTGGGATACAATTACCTACCTACCTACCTGCTGATTGTCAGCTGTGGCTTCTTTAGATTAGGCCTTATTTCAACACTGTTCGTAAAACCTGCTTCCCACAACATACTCCCCCTAAACAGTATCATGTATAAAACACATGTTTTATGCAATAACACAGCTCATACAAAAATGTAGTTCATTCAATATACTTCTTAAAAGCATACCTTAAAGCATGTTGTAAGAGTCGATTAATTGGGAGCTTCCTTCGAAGTATATCTGCCTGATAGGCAAGGAACCAATAGACTGCATGCAAATAGCTCAGACCTGTGAAACGGATGTACACTTTACACTTATTTTCTGAAACAGGAGTGGACGAACAACCATAATTTTTCCGCCAGAGTTTACAGCCGACGAACGCGAAGAAGAAGAAGAAAAAAACTTCTTAAAACTGCTTAGCTTTTATTTTAATTATAATTTAACTATTTTAATTATTTGCATAACTTATTGAACATTCAACAACCCCTTATCACATCTGACAGAAATCCTCGATCTTCTTCTTTCTTTGTTCACTGGTTGTAATTACTTCTCATTAAAGGAAGTAGTCAGAGGATGCGGTGTGTTTCCCCCCCCCCCCCCTTCCCCTTAAATAGGGGCCCAGTCACGATAAGCTGGCTGTACAGATGTAAAATTATTACATAAGGTATTCGGCTAGCCGAAACGCAAACCGGCTTCCGGCCATATTTAATACACCTACAGGGCCGCTGCACAAATGAAAGACATTCCAATTTAAAAAGCACAACTCACAGTGTTGAACCAAGCACCTAGTTCAGTAGCTTAGGCAGCGAAACCGTAGACTTCCGTCAATATGTAGAAACTGTCAGAGGCAAGATGCTGGAAGCTGCTACAATCATGGGGAGCTGACGAAGACCACCAGCGCACCATACTGACCGCGACTAATGGTGGAAAAACGCATGGCAAACTTTGGTCTCGGAAGAAGACTGCCTGATTGAAATCTGCTTCTTCCTTCTTTGCGTTCACAGGCTGTTAACTCCCGTGGAAAGTCCTGGCTGTTCGTCCACTTCTGGCTTTTAGTTTTGTCTCAGAACGTGAGATGTTCTTGCACATCGGTTTTAGACATCTGGCTTATCTGTGTGCAGGCTGTTGCTTCCGCACCTCTCTGGCTGATGAACTCTGACTGCCAAGTAAACACCTCTAATTAGTCAACTTTTACGACATGCTTTTAGGGTGCAACAAGTCTTCTCCCCCCCCCCCCCCCCCCTACCCCACACACACACACAAACAATGGGGCTCCAGAACCCACAAGGGGATTTGAGTGAAACTGAATCATGCAAATCACCTGTATGATTACCCAACCTCCACCATCAGTCTCGGTGTCACACAGCGCCAGGAGCTTCCCTTGCAGGACAAACTTCTCCCTGGAAGTTATGTGAGGCATACCTCGGTAACACCAGCTTTCGTGATGCTGAAATGACAAGAGAGGTTTAAGATATGGTAAATAGCCACACGTTTGCTCTGAAAATACACATACCTTGGCGATCTGATAGGAGGTGTAGTGGTAACAGCAGCACTAATAGCACAGCTGGGGTGATGGTGGTGGTGGTAATAGTAGTTGTTGTAGTGTGGTGGTAGTAGTAGTAGTAGTAATGGCATTTTAGACATAGTATAGTAGTACTAGAAGTAGTATTATAGAGTAGTAATGATAAAGTAGTGTTAGTAGTAGTATTATTAATAGTAGTAGTATGAGCTGCTGCTGTAGCGGCAATCTTTACTTTATCACTTTTTTTGCCACCAATGCTATCGCAGCAATTGGTCTCTCTCCTTCCCTTCCTTCATTGAACATCCTTCCCTCTTATTCTCCCTCAGTCTTCAGCTCCTCCTTCTAATCCTTTGTCGCCTTCTTCTCTTTATTTCCTTTGTCCCCGAGCTGGAGCGTAGACCCACAGCCAACTCTCATCAAGCTTTCATATTTCTACTGATATTACACAGCTCACTCCATATCTTTTCGTATCCGCTTTTTGTCAATGCATTACTTTTTTCGCTAATTCTGACGCTGCAGCTAATCTGAGCCATGCAAAGCTTCACGGATTGGGAGACGAGACACGATTAAATGCTCTCGCCCCAAGAAACCGTTTTCACCACTTTTACGGTTTTTGGTGAAATAATGTGTTTGGACAATGTCGGGTACGCCTATGACAGCCTTTGTACTGGCTACAACTTCCTAGTACAAATATGTTAGACATGCTTATATTTACCCAAAATATTTTTTAAAGATAGTATTTGATTTGAAAATAATAGGTTAATATCTTTTTCTTCTGCGTTCATCTGAAGATGTCATTGCTTTGTGTCCGTATACAGCATGGCTGCGATATTTGCACCTTTCGGCCAACACATCCAACTTCTGCGAGCATTTATTGACCGGTTTAGCCTTCCCGGTTAGTTTCCCGGGACATGGCAGTCTCATTGTTGTCTTTATTTCCCAGGTCACAGGTGGTGCCCTAATCAGGCAGGTCCAGAGATGCAACGTAGTGCTGTTCAGCCCTCAAAAGAAGACAGGGGCAGAACATGAGCATTCCCCGCCATCCAAGAAGGCTTCCACAAATGCAGAGCTAGCACATGGTGCTCTGGTACTGGGCTCACCCAAGGAATCGTCACGTCCTGCTCATGACTGTTTAACCTCACTTCCAAATATTGGAAATCTCATACATCATGGGCTATCTCTTTTGTAGCCAACAGTACGCAGCCTGCAGACCTGGGATTTAATTTACCTACACCACAAAGTGAGTACTTTGCTTCTTTTGCATGTTAGACTTTTACTGCAGTAGCCTTCCTCATCCACTATAGTTTTACGTTGTTTACGAGCTCTGCATCTCTAGGGACTATCAGCTCAGAGAATCCCGGACAGTTTTATTCTTCTTATACCTTCAGATATCAGTAGGGATATATTTGAAGAAATCAGCAGTTAACTTGAGGTTGTTGGCATCTCCGCAGAGTTTATCCTCAAAAGTTGTGGGTGTTAGCCAGAATAATTTACTTTGTTCTGCATATAATGGGCACTCTTGCAGCTAGTGTTTAGCCGTTATTTTACCCTTTCCACAGTTACAATCATCACTGTCTCCTATCTTTAGTTCATTGAAAAAGTAGTGTTTCAGCCTTTTATGTCCTCTGTGGAGTCTAAAGATCACTACTTGTTCTCTTCGGCCAAGTTGGTAGTTTGCATCATCCTTCTTGTAGCCTGGATGTTCAGAATCCCATTTGATTCTATATGTGCTTCTGTTCTATATGTCTATATCAGGCTGTGGTAGTCTTCCACCTTATAGCTTAATACAAAAGAAACAAAGCTAGAGGTCTGAAAGGCATAATAGGGCTCAAGAAAAGATTACAGAGAAGATAATAACTGTACACAGTACAAAACACATTCTTAGTCCAAGACTGTGGTGAATTAATTAACTCTGCGATGTGTGTATTTTAAAGAAAATGACTGATTATTTATGTTATGTTGGTGTGAAGTATATAGTGTACACTTGACGGAACATAGAGACAAATGCTAGGCCATAAATTTTGCAATACATTTTTATAGCCTCATTTAAATGACTCGCAAAAGTCACAATAACCCAGACCACAGCACATCTTTGACAAACAAACGCAATCTTTCCTTCACTTATATTCTGGTGTTTTATAATCACGAGAATCTCACACAGAGTGCTGCAGCAGTGCAGTCGATAGGCGCTTACATCCAGCTCAAAAGTCTCGTCTTCCAGTCAGCATCTTAACGCATTTTTAAAATTTACTTTGGCTTCCACCTTGATACGGTCTAAAATAGTTTCTAAGAAAAGTTCTGGAAATTAAAAGGGGTCGCAATGGTGTTAGGTACGAGTAATCAATCGGGTAGTCGCAGTTCCAACTTCTTTCATGGCAAACAGGTCACCTCCATAGTTGCTCCGTTTCTCTGCCAGTCGGAATCACACAGAACGTCTGTAACTTGCAAAGCCAACTACACAAACACGCCTTAAGCAGCTGTCAGAAGTGTCAATATGAATAACCAGACAAAAGAAATGTAATTCATCGTTGATAGAAACAGCAGTATCAACAGGTCAGTAGTTGCACACGCGATTAACCGCACAATCCACCGCCAGTTCTCTGGCAACAGGCCAGTCGCCATTTATTTAAAACAACAGCTCACAACGTAAAGCAGTCGAAAAGCATTCGAATTGAAATCCACAGCTCACAGTGTCGTGCTACACACTTAACTCAATAGCTGGCGACGGAAATATATCTCTTCAATCTACATATGGAGGAAATTAAAACTGCTAACTATTGTCCGAAGCAAAAATGTGTTACGACTGAAAACAGTAAACCTGCCTAACAGATATATTGACCAGAAGTGAATCACTGAGTATATTTGTCTAAGGAGAAATGAAGTAGAGAGACAAATAAGAGCGCGCACACTAGACAGACAAATAAGAACGAGCACATTAAATAGACAAACGTACACAACGCATAGGAACATACACACTCAATTAGACAGTCACTCACAAGTACATACACGTACGTATGCATGCAGACACACACCAAGGACACACACGCTCACCATATAAATATACACATACAATCATATACGCACGCACTCAGACAGAAACACATCTATAAACGTAGCCATACATACATAAACTCAGACATACACACACCCATAAACGTAGCCATTCATGCATAAACCCAGACATACACGTACATACACACACTAGGGGGAAACACATGTACAAAATAAGCATGCTTGCCAAACCTGCTCGTTGTCGTGTGTAGAGTTCAGCAAATCCTTGATGCTAGACATCTCCACTAAGATACTGCCCAGCGATGTCTTCACAACCTCAATGTCTTGCTTCAGAACCTCATTGTCTTGCTTTAGAACCTCAGTGTCTTGCTTCAGAACCTCATTGTCTTGCTTTAGAACCTCAGTGTCATGCTTCAACCCCTCGATCTGTGTCGAAATTTGGGTCAGGCTGTTCAAGATGGCTGCTGCAAGAACAATGCTGTTAATTATTGAGATGTTTTGTCTTCTACATATATATATTTTTTCAAATAAAAGTCAGCCATAGATAACTGGGTAACTATATAGAAAAAAAGCAGCCATAAATCTATGGATCTGAAGTTTTTTTTTTTTTTTTTTCAGCGACTGAGCGACTAACATCGATGGCTGGAAACACAAGATTATAACAGTGAAATGCTTGATTCATGTGAAAGTTCTTTCCATAGGCCACCACGACTGGTACCCCTTCAACGTCTACGTGCATCTTCCCAATGAAGGCGCTTGGGAATTCCCCTCTGATTTGGAGGAGTATGATGGAAAATGTTTAATAGCTGGTGAGATGGGAAATCACACAGAAAACAAACAGGGAGATGCATTATTTCAGGCACTACTAAGCACAAACTTCACCGTTTTAAGCGATGATCGGACCTTACGATTAGCAGACAGGAGCGCAGACGGATGTCGTCATCGACCTAGCTTTAGCGTCCAGTACAGATGCACCCACAATTTAGCTGGGATGTTCTTGGGAAAGTTATCAGCTGCCATGCGTTGTTCTCATCCTAAAGGGACAGACCGAAGAAAATGAAGCCACGGCACACGTTCAAATATACGGCCAGTAAAGATCAGGTTGGTACACTGTATTCGTTGCGTCAAACAGCGAGTGATTTGTGCAACCACTGTGGTAGAACTAAGAGGTGGAAAAGGCATGGGAAGAAAAAACACTGGTTACGAATGCAATGCAGAAAGCACGAATCTTGGACCTGCAAATGATGAAGATATGGAGCGAAAACGTCCAGATAAACAAATCCTGACTAACGCATTTAAAATATGTGCCAAAGTAACAAAGAAAATCAAATAGGACAATTTTTGTGACAGACGCAGTGGGATAGAAAACATTACATAAATTCTAGAATGTGCACGACAAATGAATAGAAAAAGAAAAATTCGTCAAATGCCAAACATTCAAGATTCAGGATGTAAAATATTCACAAGGAGAAGGGGCAAGAGTGTTTTAGTCGGTATTTAATCTAAACGGATAAAGACAATAGGACAGATCAGAGCTGTAGTCCTGTTCCAGAACCTGAGTGTTGCGTCGGCTTTAGTTTTAGAGATCTGACTCATTTGTATGCAGACTGTTGGTTTCTTGCCTCTTAGGCAGATGCAGTCCGACGACGAAGGAAAAATCAGTAATCAGTTTTTTTTTTTTTAATTTTAAGTGTCCTGAAAATATTCACCAAACATGGCCTATAGAACAATTTTCGTCGCTCCAACTACTGAGTTCAATTCTGTGGCACGCTCTCTGCAGCAGCTGTTCGAATCATATGAGATAATGTCGGATACTTTCGACTTGAAACCACAAACGAGACTGTAGACTGCTTTCCTTAAAATAGAAGTTCGACACGCCCATTGTGCTGACATGTATATTAACGTCGAAGGTA